ATGGGGTCATTGACCCCATCTTTAAAGGGTCATGGGGTCATTGACCCCATCTTTAAAGGGTCATGGGGTCATTGACCCCATCTTTAAAGGGTCATGGGGTCATTGACCCCATTTTTAAAGGGTCATGGGGTCATTGACCCCATTTTAAAGGGTCATGGGGTCATTGACCCCATCTTTAAAGGGTCATGGGGTCATTGACCCCATCTTTAAACGGTCATGGGGTCATTGACCCCATCTTTAAAGGGTCATGGGGTCATTGACCCCATTTTTAAAGGGTCATGGGGTCATTGACCCCATTTTTAAAGGGTCATGGGGTCATTGACCCCATTTTTAAAGGGTCATGGGGTCATTGACCCCATCTTTAAAGGGTCATGGGGTCATTGACCCCATCTTTAAAGGGTCATGGTGGCAGGATGTTTCAGCGCCGAGGCGCTGGGCGACGCACGCCAAGCACCTGGCGGATGTGGAGGCCGCCGGGAGAACTCGTGAGTCGTGCGTCGCGTTCATTGGCTGTGGATGCTCCAGGTTTAACTTGGTTTTTGGTAAGAACATCTTGGAATCTGAGAGAGTGAGCTTTTGGTGGAATCTGAGAGAGTGAGCTGTTGGTGGAATCTGAGAGAGTGAGCATCTTGGAATCTGAGAGAGTGAGCTTTTGGTGGAATCTGGGAGAGTGAGCTGTTGGTGGAATCTGAGAGAGTGAGCATCTTGGAATCTGAGAGAGTGAGCATCTTGGAATGTGAGAGAGTGAGCTTTCGGTGTTTGCTTAGGATCTTGGCCTCAGTCTGAGATAGGGTCAAGGCAATTGGGATTGATCCAGGGCGATGACACGATCGATCGCGATCCCCATGTCACTACTCTGTGGAGTCACCACCTGGGCATGTTTGTCCTTCTCTTTGGTTGAGCCCTTGGACATGATTTCCATTGGGCATGCATGCCTATGAAGCAGTTCTGAGGGTGCTCGCCACTAGAGCAGCTGAACTCATGGCCATCTTGCTGCTTTTGCAACTCTGATTGGTTCCTGAAAGCGGAGCAGTCACAGGTGTCAACTTTTGATTGGTTTGTTTGACAAGAAAGAGATGGGTTTGGGTTTCATGCCCCCAACAACCAGGGTTCCCCATCGATTTGTCCAACAGTGTCGCCTATGGGAGTGTGATGCTCGCCTTCGAATCGCCTCTTCTTCCGCGGATGCGCGAGGACCTGGACTACTTCTGGGGCATGCCACGGGTGGCATGGGTGCGGCGCCCGAGGGCGGCGACAAGGGCAGAGCCCAACGGACGTGAGCGGCTGGCGACCTCGTTGAAGGTCCTTTCATAGTGAGCCCTCATGGCAGGGTTCCCGAGCCATGTTTGTATTGAACCTCCATCTCGTGGCAGTTTCAATGGACACCAGTATATTATGACTCGATCAACATTTGAAGGGGACATCGAGGGACCCCTCTTAGTTCTGGTTGGAATTGATGAAATCGCATGAGTGGGCTTGTCCTTTTTCTCGATTGTGTCCTGGGCTACTGTGAGACCGCCTGAGTGCGCATGTTGCCGGGCTGTGTAGGAAGGTAGTCGGTCGTATTTAGGCTGCATTCTGTGCATTCTGCCGACCGTGGTTCACTTTTGTTGGCTCAGTGAACCACGGTGTCAACGTGTTTTTCAACACTGCAGACGACGAAAGGTTCGCCTCCCTCCAACACTTCAATGGGTTTGCCTCAAAATAGGAGAGCGTGTGGTTCCCCTTCGAACTCCCCGAACGACCTTTCCGAACACTGTACCTTCGAAACGTCCACACCCAAATGAGCGGTGAACGCTGGTTCGACTTGCAAGTGGCATTTCGACGAGCCTTGTGGTTTCTGCATTGCTGCCGGGCTGACATGAATATCCAACGTGGAATTTACGTTTAGCGCTTTGACTTTGATCAGGCGGCGGACTTGTCTGCAATGTTGCTGCTAAAAGTGTTTCAATGGCAGTGCCAACAACCCGAGTTGAGCAGTGAATGTTCACACCCCACCACATTTCAAGGAATCCGCCAAGTGAAAGGGTCCCCAATTCAAATTCACCCCATTTCAAATTCGTGTACGTTCTATTCGCATTGTTGAATTGGTTTGAAACGAAAACGGTATGACATTCGGAAAGAGGCCTTGTCACGCATTCCCATTGGGTTGTGAGCCCGTGAACATGCTGGGTTTCCCACTTTTTGAACAGCTTGCCCTTTGGTTGCCTTGCGGAAGCGCTTTTTCTCCTGCCGTGAATTTGAGACGAGGTCATCGTCCTCGACATTATCGCCCTCCTGTTCTACCTGGTGGGCATGCGTGTCGCCCGCGCCCCAGGCTACCGAGGGCACGAAGGCGAAGAAGTTTGTGCCTGGCATTTGGGTGTCCAAGTTGCCATTTGCTCAGTTTTCCTGTGTTTAATGTGTCATGGCTTTCACGCTTGTTCTCTCGCAGCAACATTCTTCATCTGGGTGTTTCTCACAATCCGGGACCTTGCTGGGGTGGTTGAAGGGCAACCAAAAGGAAGCAAACCATTTGTCCATGGGTCAAACCCCCGTACCCCAGTGAACATCCGATTCAACCCCCACTAAAATAGGTTCTAAAATGGGTGGTGAATTCACCTACCCCAAAGTGGTACCATTGGTTTTGAACCATGGCCAGTTGTTTTTGAGCTCCAGCCATTTGAGAGACATTCGAGACCCAAGGCTCAACTGCAAGCCTCCGCCATGCGCGCCCTGCCGAGCCCGTGAGGTCACCAGCCTTGCGCGGAAGAAGCCCGAGCAGGACCTCAGAGCGCGGTGGTTTCGAGTGAGCAACCCTGGCCCCTTAGGGAAACCAAAGGGGTACAGGAACAACCAAAGGGGTTGAAGCACCTAAAGGGTTTGGGCCAACTTTTCAACATAGCTGTGTAAATGACGCGCGCTCAAGAGTTTTTCCGTTCAAATACCAAAGTGACATGACCAGTAACTATATGTTTGCTTTAGTTCTTGCTCCCTTCCTCCCTAGATGTTCAGATTGGTTCTTTTCTATCAGTCCAGCCGGCTCCATACTTGGCATTTAGCCATAAGCAGGCTTGTCCCAGTTATTTGTGGCCTGCAACCCCGAAACACAACAAAAGGTATGTGACAAATCGCCCTTGAATTGCGCTTGGATGCCAACATGGTTTGTTGCCTTTTTGGTTTAGCAGATCATGGATATTTTCCAGGGCCCATCGCGGCTGCGCCACGATAGCCTTCAAACCATGACATGCCCCGCTCAAATGTTTTTTTTGTCCCGGCGCAGTTGAAGCTCCTCGAACTCAATGGGATTTGTTGGAGCGCCAGCTCCAAACGAAGAAGATTGGCTTGGTTGGCAGCTCGGACTGGCAGCCCGGACTGGCGCGGTGCGTTTCCGTTCTTGCGGCTTCGGACGGCGTCTGGGTGCCTCCAGGGTCTGTCTTTCTTAAGGTTGGACCCACCATGTGGGTTTCCTTTTGGTTTCCCTTTAACGCGCCACCAAAAAAAGGGGTACCCTCACAAAGAAGGTCCCACCCGAGTGGTATCCATGTTGGGGCCAGTTCAAACCCTGTGGCAGGAGGAGTATCTCATGCAGGGCCCGGTGTGAGCTTCCCAGCTACCTGCTCCGCGCAATTTGCTGGCTGCAAAGAAGGAGCTTGGGAACTGCTTCCCCCCAAAAAGAGATACCCTTGTCGTAAATGATACATATACTAGTATTTATGTATACATATAGATATGCATATATATATATATACATATATATACATATATATATATATATGTATATAGTACAAACAAGTACTTTGTTACATTTATTCATAGGGTGCAGTTGTTGATGGGGGAAGTGGTGCAATTCGAGGCCATCCTTGACATGGCCGATTCTACTTTTCAGGCTACATGCAATCATCTTGCGCAACACTTTCTCAGAGAGAGGTTGCCACACCATGCACACGGCGCGCTTGACATTGATAGCCTGTTAGCATTTGCATATTCTACAACTTTCCCAATACCCTTTGCCGAATTTAAATGGAAAACAACTTATTTCTTGGGTTTACGACCTCACCCATGAAGGTTCCGTGCCTGGGTTTAAGATCTGTGATCTGTTCGCTTTTACTTGGAGATTTGTTCATGGGATGCTTCAAATCCTCCTGTGGCTATCCTTGAACTTTGCCAGTCAGTCCACTTCAGTCCAGGTCAGTCCAGCTATGTCCAGCTCGTCCAGGTTCAGCTGAGTCGGTGAGGTGGGTGGGTGGTCAGTCAGCCCGGTAGTCAGGCCAGGTCAGTGTCAGAGACGCTACGGTTGGTGCAACTGAGGACGAATCTCCAGAGAATTTCTTTACCCATGTCCACGTACCCCACTTGCGTGTTGCTTGCAATGAACGACAGCCGGTGGAGGCGTTCAAAGCTCGCCTGCTGTGCGTGTGCGCCCTTGCTTTGGCTCGCAGCTTGAAACGACGTACATGACGGACAGCGAGACCATGACGGCGTCAACCTGAGGCCTCCCTCGTGAAGCTGAAAGTGTAGGTGGTTTCCCACCTGGGTGCGGCTCAAGATTAAACAGGGGGGGCAACCCGCAGGTTTTGGTACCCATGTTTCCACTTACCAGGGCAAGCCATTTTACCGGTTTTTTGAGCCACAGCCACATGGGCACATCCTGGATCCTCCCATGATAGACCGTGCAACTGGCGTCACTGAATGAAGCAACTCTGGGCAACCACTCATCCGATGATGCACGGCGATGCACAGGCATTCCGACTTGTCGCTTGCCCCGCATGACTGAAGCAGATGCAGCCTTGAGATTGCAGTTGCATCCGGATGGAGGCGGACGCTTGCTATTGAGGATACTCCGCAAAACAACATTGACCCAACTGATCAAACAGAGCTTGGTTTAGCTTTGCCCCTTAGCCAAGTGCTGAAAATTCAAAGTTTTGCTTTCAATTTGGGGTCAGTTCTTTAAAACAACAAAAAAGCAAATGTGGGTTGCTGGGTACCCAATTTCGGAGCCACAGCCAAGTACAAGAAACGGTTCCGCAAAGTCGAGACCTGGCGTTGTGACCGGTATGCATGCCGCGGTGCCTTGATGCTCTTCGACATCGAGGCGGGCGGTGGATTCCGCAGCCAGGAATTTGTGGACCTTTCGAACCTCTCTCCATGCAAAATTGGGGTTTGCCCAGCCCTGGCACAGAACCAACTTCACGGATTGCCGCCGTTGTTTGCTTGTGCCGATCTTTCTGCAACACCATCGAGCTGCACTCTGCTGCCCAGTGGTGCCCTTTTTTCATTCCTTTGTTTTGGGAAGGGTTCCGATTCCTTCAGAGTCAACCAGCCACAAAAGGGGATGCCGATGCTTTTTTTCCCATGGAAATCCACTGGGCATCGTGGCATCGAGCTTGGAAAAAATCCATCACAGCCGGGTTGGCTGGACTTGGACATCCAAGGCCGCAAGGTTTTGCACTCTAAAAACCCACTACCAGATCGCCGCTTTGGGCCGGACGGAAAAACGGCGCTTGGTCGACCTGATAAGAACTCACCTCCGTTTGCACCTCAAACAAAGAAAACAACCAGGGCTGTTTTATAGGCGAACGTGTCAACATTTGTTGGGTTTAAAACCCCTGCGACCCCCTTGCAGGTAGGGGTGCTGCGATACAGTGGATACAGGCTCTGAAATCTCTCTCGCTGGAACGCGGCCCAGGGAGACAAGCATACACAGAAAATACCAGGGCTTTCCTTTTTTCAAGGCCTTTGGCTTTCACTATTTTTGCAGGCTTTTTCCGTGTATTTTTGGTCAAAAGGACTTCTTCCTTGCTTTTGGCTTCTTAGCTTCTTGGCTTTTTGGCCCTTGTGGGTTTGCCGGCCCGATCGCCGCCTGTCGTCAGCTCTCGTCAGACTGCCAGGCGCTCGACCTGATCTGGCCATGGACGCCGCTGATGCCCACGGTGTATTTGGAGCCAGGCAGGGGTCGCATCCGGCGAACCTGCGAGCCGAGCGAGGAGAGCAGGGGTTGGCAGGGGGGTTGGCAGGGGGATTGGTCAATTCCTCCATTTCCAGTGGGTCAGGGCTTCCGAGCCATTTCCCTTTCTTGTTGGGTTCAATAAAAAGTGACCCCTGTTGTTCGTAACCTGGCCGGGATATTTCCGGAGCGCGGAACCCGATGTTTGATGTGAGGACGCTCGGCGAGGGTGCTGCAAAAACTTGTTGCCCATGGCATCAGCTTTAATCGAAAGCCTTCGATCTTCCACAGGGCTCCTTAAAAAAGATACATTTTGCAACCATTTGAAACATGTTGCTGATTTCCACCAAAATAAGGAACCACCTTTTACAAGGCAATGTTCAGGTGTACAATGTAAGGATCCCTGTTCCATGCAGAAGCCACATATTGATTGGCCAGGGATGGTCAGATGCCCCATGTGGTCAAAGCAAACGGAGAAACGGAGAACATGAGTTGCACGCCAACATTGAGCGGAGCCCAGAGTAGCACTGTTTTGCAAGGCCAACATCACAACTCATCACGCTGATCTTGCCTCGTCGCAACGCCTATGGCCCAGACCGCCTAGAGGGCCAAGCA